GGATTGGCATTGGATGTTAGCTCGGGGCTGATCTTCCTCATACAAAAAAATATATATATATAGTTATATCATAATTTTGTTTAGATCAGTATTCAGTGTTTCTATTACTATGACTAGCCAAGTCCTGGTGGTCTGGTGGTTAACATTTGGCACTCGCACCGCCAAGGCCTGGGTTCCTCTCTGGTCAGGGAACCACACCACTGTCTGTCAGTTGTCATACTGTGGCAGCTGTGTGTTGCTGTGATGCTGAAAGCTATGCCACCAGTATTTCAAATACCAGCAGAGTCACCCATGGTGGACAGGTTTCAGTAGATCTTCCAGACTGACTAGGAAGAAGGACCTGGCCACCCACCTTCAAAAAAATTGGCCATGAAAACCCTATGAATAGCACCAGAACATTATCTGATATAGCACAGGAGGGTGAGAGGATGGCACAAAAAGACCCGGCAGGGTTCTGCTCTGCTGTCCATAGGGTCACTAGGAGTCAGAATTGACTCAACAGCACTAACAACAAATAACTTTGACTATATACGCTAGTCAGAGTTGAGCCAAGTGGTAAACTATAATTACTTTTCCTTTCACTCATACCGTTTTGTTTTCCTTAGAGTTAAGAATTGCCTAATTTTTAGTTTCCTTGTATTCTTTGTGCATATCAGAAGTCAACCCCAAATTCTCTGCTATTTGATGTAGTCTCCCCTCAAGATGTTTGTTCGTACTGGGTAGTCTTGTCAGTTTCCTCCTCTTGAAGATCTGTGGTGGAACATTTGACCTCCTTCAATCTGGATTGGTTATCCCAGTCTATATCATAAATGTGAGAATTCCCTTCACCTGTTTTCAATGTTGGATCTCTTCTGTTTGTTTGTCCTACATCTTCTCTTTCTTGGTTTACTCTCTCATTTTGATGGATCAGTCTCCAGTGTCTTCTTAGAAAGGTGTATAGGTAGTAAAATTTTTGAGATCTTCTATTTCTGAAAATATCTTTATCTTCCCACACATTGGTTGATAACTGAGTATAGATATTTAAGTTAGAAATAACTTTACTACAGAACGTTGAAGGAAATGTTCCATTGTCTTCTAGCTTCCAGAATTGTTAAGAAGTTATAAGCTACTTTGATTACTGATTCTTTGTATGTGCCCTGGTTTTTTCTTTGGGAGTTTATAGAATCCTCTTTTTTGCCCAGTATGCTTGTTGTAGGTCTATATTCATCCATTGTGCTGGGCATTCAGTGGGCCATTTCAATCTAGAGACATATCCTTCATTCCTGGAAAACAGAGTTTTCATTTCTGTTATGATGTTTTTAATTTCCAAGATCTCTTTTACTTTTTTGTCTAAATGTTCCTTTTTAAAATTAATAAATAGCATTCTGTTCTTGTTTTCTTTTTTCATGGATCCATGTCTTCTCATACCTTTGATGATACTAATGAAAGCTTTTGTTTTTGTTTATTCTCTGCATAATGTTTTTTCCAAGTTGCTTTTTTGGGAGGAGAGGAAGGTTGGTTTTGGCTATTTTGGTCTTTATCTCTCATGTTAGAATATTTCCATAGGTGTCTGGTAAACCTTGGTAGTCTATCCTTGCTTAAGGGTTAGAGACTCAAAAGCTGATGGCAGGGCTGGCCCTGTGGCTTAGCGGTTAAGTGCGCACACTCCGCTGCTGGCGGCCCGGGTTCGGATCCCAGGTGCGCACCGACGCACTGCTTCTCCGGCCGTGCTGAGGCTGCGTCCCACATGCAGCAACTAGAAGGATGTGCAGCTATGACATACAACTATCTACTGGGCTTTGGGGGAAAAAAAAAATAAATAAATAAAATTATTAAAAAAAAAGCTGATGGCAGCTCTGAGTACCTGGGAGGACTTGTCATTTCTGAACTTCCCTGTAGGTGGAAGTGACTGCCCATTTCTTGGAAAATACCTTGTCAATGTCTTTAGGTCTTTCCTCTTGGGCTGGATGGGTTTTCCAGAGAAGACTTCCAATCTCCTACATGAAGAACAAAGACTGGATGCCAGGTTTTTGGAAGACAGGTGTGGGGAGATGTCAAGGGTCTCTGCCTTCAGCCTGCATATGTTCACTGAGGGCCCCTGTTTTTGCTTTGATGCCTTTGCCTCCCAGCACCTGATATCCCAGTCCAAAGACCCTCTGCTTTACCTCTCTACAAAGTTTACCTGTAGTCTGCAGGGTTGGGGAAGACAATCTAGGGGTCTAAAATTTTCTTAAACAGCTTACAAGCCATCATACTTATTTTAACTTACTCCCTTTCACCCTCACTTCAGAGAAACCGTGTACTGCCATTTGCAGATCTTATTGAAGATTCATTTCTTTTTCTTTTTTGGTAAATAGGATTGCTCTTCTTGACTGCTGGCTTAGGATTCAGCTTTCTCAATTCTTCTAAGTCAGTTAAAATTTATCCCTTTGCCAAAGTCATACTTAGATTAAACGTCGTGCTTAAAACATGATACACTTGCCTTATTTACTTGTTAATTGGTTACTTTTGATTTTGTAATCAGCGTCTCTTAACCTACCCTCCAAATCAAAGTCTGGGACCTTGACAATTACCTACATCTAACCACACATCCATCCTCCATCCACTTTTGTGTCTTCCTGCACCCAAAGTAAACGGCATCCTGAACATTCATCGTTTCCTTTCCCTTTTATATAGTTTTATTGCATCTATGTGGGTTCCTATAAAGTATATATTTTTATTTTAGTTCCTGTTAGCTGTATATAAGAGGGCATCATGCTATATGTAATCTATTGGGACTTTTATTTTTCATTTAATATTATAGAGTACTAAGATTTGTCCATATTGTTACCTATCACTGTAACTTATCCATTTTCATTACTATGTAATATTTTATTTTGTGAATATACTTCATTTTTCTTCCAGCTTCCAAAATTTCATTGTTGTTGTCTCCCCTTTTTTTCTCTCCTTCCTTGTGGATTTTTTTAAAAAATTATTTACTGTAGTATTAGTGGAATTTTAGGAGGGGACAAAATTAGATGTATGTATTCAATCCACCATTTTTACCTGGGTTACCTAAGTGATCGTCAAAAGTAATTTTGACAATATGAGATATTTTTACCTTTCTAACTTTTAGAGCATGTATACAGTATGACTCCACTGTACATACTCTAAACCTTGGTTATTAGCATTAATAGATGACATCTAATATTAGAAAACCAGCAAGGACATCTGTGGTCATCCAGTCCTACTTTCTACCTGGTCAAGGAATGTTCTGGTCAGGAAGCCACAGATAGTGCTTTTTGACCTCAGAGGTACCTTTCAATAATTATAACTCAAAGAAAAATGTTGGAAGCCACAGATAGTGCTTTTTGACCTCAGAGGTACCTTTCAATAATTATAACTCAAAGAAAAATGTTGATATTTTAGTTAGCTTTTGTAACCTTACTGCAACTAAATGTGAGGTTTCCATTAGAGTTGTTTAAATATTGAAAACTGCCTAAGGGCCCTCTTTGTTGCCTTTGGGGAAATCTGGGGGTCTAGCAGCCCAGGTTAAGGCTGCAGTTCTGAGCACCATACAATAAGGCAGAAGTTTAAACTTGTTTTTTCTTATCTTTTTTCCATTGCAGGGATGTTATCAAGTGGTTGGTCAAAGCAGTAACTGAAGACGGATTAACTCAGCCCCCAAATGGGAATCAAACCTCTTCAATAACAGGAATCTTGAGGGGCAGCAGTAGCCACCCTTCTCCCCAGCCTACCCTGACGAAGAACACCAATCAGCTGTAAGGGGGAGGCAGAAGTTATCTTTCCTGGGCTACTGGGATTTACTGTTTTAGAGAACAGCACCACTCCCTAAGAGCAGTTTCCCCAAAATTAACAAGCTGTTGTAACGTAGAATGATCTTACTAAAGACTCTTAGTTTGACTAAAGGCTAAATTTCTAATTCCAAAGGTAAAATAAAAGCAGATACTTTCCCCTCTAGATAAATAGGACTTCACTAAATGAACACAAATTCGTAAAGCTGAAGTGAAACAAAAGCTAAAGGACACTGCCCTCCCTTTCCTGGATTCTAAGAGACAATACAGGGTTACAGCTACTCATCACTTCAGCTGTCCACTGACAGAAGAGAACGAGTCATGGGTAGTGGGTGTCCCAGCAGCCTCTAGTCCTAAAGGACCAGCATCTCTCTCCTCCAGACCTGGCAGAAGAATAGCAGTTCAACCTGTAGATTCCAAGCAATGGCTCAGACTGGGGCAGGTCCCATTACCTCAGACCACACTGGAGAGAGATCCCTGGCATTTCTTTTACGGGGTTGACAGTGGTCTTGGCATTTTTTGAGAGATGCCAGGATTTTAGGGGCTGGAACTACCCTTACACAAGTAACCTACTATTCCATGTCAATCATATTGTTAGAAACCAGTCACACTTGACATTTCAAATACAGCATTTTGCCTAAATTCACAATGCTATGTTACAATCTAGTTGCACCAACCTGATTTTCCTATAGGGCCTATAGGTTTTAACTAATTTAGGAAACAATCTTGTATCTAAAGAGAGAGTATTTGGAACAATGGAGCATTTGCTTGGGCAGATTGGAGGAGGCCCTAAAGTAGGGTTATCCAAAAACCCCAATATACAGACCCAAGAGAGAGGCAGATGCTGTTCCTTCAATGGAAGCTACTCTCATGTAATAATAATAGTAATGATGTATTTATTATAAGTAAATATTAGTAGAAATAAAAAGAGGGCCCTCTAAAAGTCCATTTATCATGATCTTAACAATAATAGGGACTACCATTGACCATTAATGAGTGCCTATCTGCCATATATCTTACACAGCACTCCAAATTAATGAAATGGGTGGTTTTATTCACCCCTTTTTAGAGATGAGAAGACTTGGACTCAGAGCAGTTTAGTAATTTGTCAAAAGTTGAACAGCTTCTCATTGCTGAGCCAGAATCTGATGCCAAAGCCCCTGGTCCACCTATTGTGTCACTTACTGCAGATTTCCTGAGAACCAGAGCCCTTGCTTCCATCACAAATAATGCATGTTAGAAAAGGTTGACTTCAAGCCAGGCTCACCTTTTTGAAGGGTCACCCAGAGTCCTTCTGCCACGTCAGCCTGGCTCTCCTCCGCAGTTAGGTCTGATGGGAGAGAGGGTCATGTTCTACCAGTTGAAGTTGAGACTGAACGTGGTAAAAGATTATTGTATAGGAACCAGTAACAGGAGAGAACTATATGTTAAATATGTATTTTCTCCTATCAAAGAAATTCAAATAGTTCTTAGTCATTCTGGACCTATTTCCTCATCTGTAAAATAGAGAAGTTATAGGTTAGATGATCCTTAAAGTTCTCTAGATCCTTAAGATTGTATGTTTCTATTTTTGAATTTAAAAGCAGCTCAACCCCAGGTTCTGAGGTTCAGATAGTATGATCTGGCAAAAGGGATTCAGGTAGGTGAAACGGCTAAATAAAAGCATGCTGATGGCTTGAGTAGTTCTCCCTGACCTAGTGTGTGCTTTACAAGATCCTTTAGTACACTGATGGGGACCTCCTCCCAGCCAGCAGGGTGACTCCGTGTCAGAGCCTCCTGCTCACTTGTGTTCTTTGTTCTGGACTCAGGATTGTGTGCCAGCTGCAGAGGATGCTGTCCATAGCTGTAGAGGTAGACAAGACCCCCACCTGCAGCTCCAATAAAATTGCTGAGATGATGTTTGGGTTTGTGTTGGACATTCCTGAGAGAAGTCAAAGGTGAGTCTTAGTTTTGTTTTTGTTTTTGTCCCGGGAACATAATTTCAAAAGAAAATTGCAAACAGTAGTTATATTGGGGGAAAAAGAAGTAGAGGGATAATTCCTGTCTCTTTAACCTTTGAAAGGAAGAGCTTCTCAACTAATTGTTATTATTTGCAACTAAGGCATAATTTCTTGGGAAGAGGCAGGATACCTTAAATGGGGCCTAAATTTTCCTACTTCATCTGTTTGGCTAACAACTTTACTCATCCTTCAAGGCTCAGCTGTTGAGCACTACCTTCTTGCCTGACCCTCAACCGTAGAACCTGGTATAAGTATTTACTAAAGGCTTGATGGATAAATGAAATAGGCACGTCCAGTATTAGAGGAAGAAGAGGTGACCCAAGAATGAATAAGGTTGGATCTGTAGAATGAGCTCAGATAGTAAGAATAAGGAATTCAGTTTCTCTAAGCATGAATTAGTAAAGCATTCCATTAGGAGGAGATAAAGAAATAGAGTTCTTGGCTAGGACCAATGATTCCTTCTTTGAACCAGTAATTTTAGAATCCAGAGGAAGAGAAATAAATGAATAAATATGAATTCATGAACAGTTGCTGGTACAGGAAATAACTGTGAGAGAGCCATTGTACCCTGGGGAAATTAACTGCGTCAGCTCCGTGTCTGCTTCTCATCCCCATCCCCTAAGCTCCCAGTTGGCAGCCAAGACTGTACTTGTACAGCTCTGGTTCCTCTATTAAATACAATGTCATACCAAATAGTATTGTAATAAAGATTTAATTAAAATTCCCTGCTAAGATTAAGACAAACATTTATCAGGTCCCTACAATGTGCCAGTCATTGTCACATTAATTAGCTCACATTTTCATGCAACTTTATAACATTATTCCTATTTAACAAATGAGAAAAATACTCAAAGTAGTGAAATAACTTGCCCAAGGTTACACATCTAATCAGATTCAGAATCCAGTAAATCCAGGACTTCTTAATCCCAAGTTCATTGTTCAAAGGAGGCAACATGTTATGGTGGTCAGACAGAAGGAAGCGTACATAAATGCCATGCTTGCTCTGTCACTTTGTCAGGAGTATTTAATTTGGGTTCAACTGCCATACTGTTCATTCGTTTGAGAGATGGGAAATCTGATGAATGGGTGACTATAAACAAATTTAGACTTAACATAGATAAAAATAATTTAAATAAAAGCTGGCCCTACTTTAAAACTCTCTCAAATTGGCAACCACCCAAATTATACTAGAAGATTCCTTATATGGCCTTTACTTTGGTTTGTTTTAATTTTTTAAAGTTGAGGTATAATTTACATACAATTAAATTATATAAACTAATTCATGTAAGTATCATTCCATGAATTTTGACAAATGTGTAACCTGTAAGACCCATCATTTTCCAATGGCTCATTGATAGTATATAGAAATCCTGCAACCTTACTAAATTCACTTATTCCAGTAGGAATATTTTTGTGGTTTCCTGAGGATTTTCTACATACACAATCATATTGTCTGCGAATAAAAACAGGTTAACATCTTCATTTCCAATTTGTATGCCTCTTGCTGTATTCTTGCCTTATTGCATAAACTAGTACCTCCAGTAGAATGTTGGAGAAGTGATAAGGGCAGACATCCTTGCCTTATTCCTGATCTTAGGAGGGAAACATTCAGTCCTTAACCATTAAATGTAATGTTAGCTGTAGATGTTTCATAGGTGCCCTTTGTTAGATTGAGGAAACTTCCTTCTATTTCTAGTTTATTGAGTGTTTTTATGAAGAATAGATATTGAAATTTGTGAAATATAGTTTCTGCATCTATTGAGGTAATCATAATTTTTCTCCTTTATTTTCTTGATGTGATGAATTACATTGATTAATTTCCTAATGTTAAACCAACCTTGCATTCCTGAATAAAAAACCCTACTTGGTTGTGATATGTTATTCGTTTTGTATATTGATAGATTCAATTTGCTAATATTTTGTTAAGGGCTTTTGCATCTATGTTTACAAGAAATATTAACCTGTAATTTTATTTTCTTATAATGTTCAACCTCACTCCTATTTAAAGAATGTAAATTGAAACTATGCTGAGATACCATTTTTCACCTATCTGAATAGTAAAAATTTTAAAGTATAATAATACACTCCATTAGTGAGGCTTTGAGAAAGCAGGTACTCATACATTGCTGGTGGAAATGCAAGATGGTACAAGTCTTATGAAGAGGAATTTTGCAATATCTCACAAAATTAAATGTACGTTTACCTCTTGACCCAGCAATCTCACTTCTAGGAATTTACCCTGAGGATATACTTCCAACAATATGAAAATACATATGCACAAGGATATTCGCTACACCATGTTCATAATTGCAAAATATTAGAAACAACCCAATGCCCCTCATAGGACAGTGGTTGAATATCTATGGTACATCTACACAAGGAAGTATTATGCAGCTGTAAAAAAATTAAAATTAAAAAAAGGAGCAAAATTTCTATGAACTGATTTCCAAAATATATTAAGTAAAAAAGCAAGATACAAAAGAGTATGCATAGTAAATATACATATTGTTTTGTAAGAAAGGAGAAATTGCAAAATATACATGATTATGATCATTTGTGAAAAAAGAAACAAAGTTAAGATAAACCGCAGACTAATCAAATTGCTTACATATGGAGGCTGGATGGCAATGGGCTGGAAAGGAGAAAAGATGCTGGGTTGGGGTGGTAATGGCGGTAGTGGTGATGGTGTAATACTTCCCTGAGTATATACTTCTTCGTATAGGAATAACTTTTAGACTTTTAGAGTCATATTAATGTTTTACATACTCAAAAAAGAAAAATAAATCAACAAGGAAGTTGAAAAATCAGTCAACAGGGGAGAGCCTAATGTGGAATACAAACAGCCACAAATTAACTGTGTTTTAAATGAGTAACATAACTGGGGTAGGGGGAAAAAGGGTGTGGGAGAACAAGCCTAAGTAACTTTTTTTCACTTTTTATTTTTAAATAATTATAGATTCACAGGAATTTGCAAAAACTAATAGAGAGGTCCGATGTACATTTTGCCCTGTTTTTCCCAGTGATTACATCTTGCATAACTATAGTACAGTATCACAAACAGGAAATTGACATTGGTACAATCCATAGAACATATACAGATTTCACCCGTTTTACATGCACTCATTTGTGTGTAGTTCTATGCGATGTTATCACATGTGTAGATTCATGTAACCACCAGCACAATCAAGATATGCAGAAGTGTTCCATCACCACAAGGATCCCTTGTGCTGCCCTTTTATGGCCACAACCATCCATCTCCCCAACCCTTGGCAACCACTAATCTGTCCAAGTAACTTACAACACAGTGTTTGGACTAACTACTCTCAGACTAAAGTCAAAATGAACTGTAAATACTGAACTCTAACTAGTTAGTAGATTTTTTTTTGCAGATGTATGAGTTAACAATTCAAAAACTATCTTATGTATATTATAGGATTAAACAAATAAATGTATTGTTGATAATGAGAGCCAAACTTCTCACTGTCAGAGAAAAGAGTTACACATGAAAAGTGGAAAGGATAGAAGGAACTCTGGTGCTGGATTAGAATTGGAGGCATCAATATGAACTTGCAGTTTTTAATAAATATAGGCAGACATAGGAATAGATGTAGACATGTGAGGGTGTTTTATATATTATATGTGTGTGTGTGTGTTCATACATCTCTTTCCTACCTCTGCCCACTGAGAGAGCACAGAAACAATTACACCTTAGTAGCAATGAGCACAACTCGTACTCAGATCTTTGTTTCTAAATACCAGTTTACTCTAAAAGGAACCAGAGTTCCTTGAAGAAATGGCTGATTCCAGGGCTGAGGCAGGGAAAAGTATAAGATAAGTACAAGATGAATCTGGAACATCTTGTGCCAGTAAGTAAGGAAATGTTCAGAACGTGTCGAAAGACACAAGAGCCAGCTTAAAGAGCTTCTACTGACCAAATCTGGGATAATTTGAGCATCAAAATAGATATTGACAGTAATAGACTATAAACTTGAATGAAATAAGAATCTGTGATTCTAATACTGATAGGAAGGAGAGAAGGAAGGAATAGAAAGGACCCTCTTCCTTACAGTCAAAAGCCAACTAATAAATGTAAGAAGAAATGATTAATTGGGAAAACAATGCCATTTGGCAACCATCATAAAGTTAATTCAGCTCTGAATGGATACTAAAATGGTGAAAGTTTGTGAAGTACCAAGATATTTGCATAATCTCAAAGTATATTCCCATGAGATATTCATTATATAAAGAGAAAAACAATAACTTTACAAATAAGGAGACACTACTTTATTCAAGTGATCAATGTTAACACCAACAATAGGACAAACTGGCATGATATGCCTTTTGATATAATGCAATGAAAAAGCAAAACATTATTTTGTTTGTTTCTTTGTTTTTCTGGTGAGGAAGATTGGCTATAAGCTAACATCCACTGCCAATCTTCCCCTTTTTGCTGAGGAAGATTGGCCCTGAGCTAACATCTGTGCCCATCTTCCTCTGTTTTGTATGTGGGACACTGCCAAGTGGCTTGATGTGCAGTGTGTAGGTCTGCGCCCAGGATCCAAACCTGCAGACCCCAGGCCACTGAAGTAGAGTGTGTGAACTTAACCACTACACCACCGAGCCAGCCCCCAAAACGTTATTGTTGCAGTACTTCTGCCAAAAACTGCATAACCTCAATCTAATCATGGAAAATTATCAGACAAATCCCAAATGAGAAACATTCTGTGAAAAAAAATGACCTGCACTTTTCAAAAATGTCCATGTCATGAAAGACAAAGCAAAATTGAGGAACTGTTCCTCAGACAAGACTACCAGACAACTGAATGCAATGTGTAATCTGGGATTTTCTTTTGCTATAAACAGCTTCATTCAGACAGTGAAATCTGATTAAAATCTATGGATAATGATATTGTGTTAAGGTTAATTACCTGATTTTG